CGAAGATGGGCGGCGGCAAGCGCGATCATCCCTCCATGCTCGACCGATTATATATCTGTCCTTGCTGCTTCAAGTACTCGAAAGAGATGGTGCCATGGCGGAAGCATGTGCGATACTGCGAAGCGAAAGCATTTGTCCCCGGGACCAAGATATACACGCATCCACGGCACTCCAAAACAATAAGAATCCCGCGTATGAATTCAACAGAAGCAAGCCCCACGGGAACTGCGAAGAACAAGGGGAAAAGTAAAAGCGATGGTAGCGATCAGTCGGCGGACACGGCTATGAGCGAAGGAGAGTGGAGTGTCTGGGAAGTAGACGGCGGGAAAGATGGTGTAAGTTATCACGCTTTCTCAACTCAACTTAGTACTCCTGAATACTAACTGCGGAGTAGCTATTTTGTCAGAACCTCTCCCTGTTCGCGAAGCTCTTCCTAGATAACAAATCGGTGTTCTTCGACGTCACGGGGTTTAATTACTTTCTCCTCGTCTGCACGCCTCCGCCTCCCAAAACACAATCGTCTTCTTCCGTACAGACAGGTTCAGCTTCTGAATCACTTACCAATCTCGAAGACTCGGCGCCTATGTTGTCCAACTCATCAGTTGGTGCCTCCACCTCTCTGGCGTCGCACCCGAGGCCCCAAATTGTCGGCTTTTTCTCGAAAGAGCAGATGTCTTGGGATAATAACAATCTAGCCTGCATTCTGGTCTTCCCGCCATGGCAACGCAAGGGCCTTGGTGCCTTGCTTATGGGCGTTTCATACGAGATTTCACGCCGTGAGGGTATCCTAGGAGGCCCCGAAAAGCCCATATCAGAGCTAGGACGCAAAGGATACAAGCGGTTTTGGGCCGGCGAGATCACTCGGTGGATTCTCGAGTTGAACATACCCACGCCGTCTGCCGAGTCTGCTCACTCTACTAGACATACAAGGAGAGAAAAAGAAAAAGACAAGGTCAAAGAACAAGAGGGCCTTGTCGTTGATGTGGGGCAGTGCTCCCGAGACACCTGGATCGTCCCTGAAGACTGCCTCGCTGTGCTTCGGGAGATGGGCGTCGTCGAGGAGGCAGGGCTCGGGCCACCCAGGGGCGAGCGAGATAGTGGTGGAGAGGGGAGTGCGGATGCGAATACACATGGGAAAGAGAAGGAAGAGAAAGAGTCCAGATTACCACTTGTCCCCAGAGTTAAGATTGATAGGGCGGCCGTCCGCAGATGGGCGCGCGAGAATCGGATCGATCTCACGAGGGCTTGCGATCCCGAGGGGTTCGTGGAGGGATATGCTATTAAAAAGGTCGAAGACAACGATGAAGAGGAATGATGGGATAGCGTTTTTCGAGATCATTCTGCTCAAGCGAGCGCAGGTGTTGCGATCACTCTGTTTTAGGTTCTGATAGGGTAAGGATGGGAAGCGAGGCGTCTAGAAGGTGGTTCATGGTTTTTTGAAGCACGGTATATCGTAGGCTGCAATCCAAACCGAAATGCAAGTTCGATTAGCATTTCACGGTTAGGTTTACTCGCCTATGTGTATGTCTTCTTTCACTCGTTTTGATATGCTACTTAATCACAACGCTTGTAAGATGTCTGCCAATTGTCACTTAACCTCTCCTAACAGCCAGCTAGATATATCATGGTGAGATGGAGATATACGGAATCGGAGAATATTACCCTAAGACTGCACAGGTAGTCAAGTAGTCTACCATTTAAACCTATATTCTACTCTATTGAGCAACGGGAAAATGCAAGTGATGTATACGGACCTGTCCTGTTCCTACCATACGTACGTACGGTAAATGAATGCCGTGAGGGGGAATCCCCTGCATTAGATCTGCCGTTGCACCCATGTATGGAGTCCGGAGTCTGGAGATGTATCACGGTGGGATTTACGTTGCATCGATGCGTAGTATATCGTGTCTGTGAGGCAAGCGAAGCACGGCATGGCATGGTATGGAATCATTTGCGGACTTGAGTATATATACCACTCCGGGCCTCCTATTCATTTTGAGATCGCGACCTCGATGATACCAACATTTTTAATATATTTACTTGTTTGTGTCTCCCTCTGTGCCTCTGTCTCTATCTTACTTGAGTTGGCCTAAAGGAAGAGAACAATAGAAACAGGAGAAAGACACAGGTCAAAAGAAAGGAAGCACAGAAAGAGATAAAACTGTGCAGGGCGAGAAAAATGACACAACGCCGCCGCAGTGTCATCGTCACCGGAGGCGCAAGCGGCCTCGGCAAGATCATGAGCGCCTACTTCGCGGCGCGCGGCGACGCCGTCACGATTCTGGACATCAACGCCGCCGATGGCGCGGCCGTCGCGGCGGAACTGAGCGCTGCGCACGGAAGCCCACCCGGAACTAACGATACTAGAGCTGACGATACCCAAGAAGATGGTAATAGCGGTGGTGAGAGTGGTGGAGAGGTGAAGTTCGAGAAATGCGACGTCGCGTCGTGGGAGGAGCAGAAAAGGGCCTTCAAGGCCGTGTACGAGCGCGTCGGACGCGTCGATGTCGTCGTTGCCAACGCGGGCGTCTCTGAGGGCGGGGGGCGCAGCTGGATATTGCCTGGCGGCGGGGAATTGGATCCGGTGGATGAGCCTGAGGAGCCTAGGTTGAAGGTTCTTGATGTTAATCTTTTGGGGGTTGTGTATTGTATGCTTTTCTTCCCCTTTCTTATCCCTCTATTATCTCTTTTCTGTCTCTTGAGTGTTATGTATAGATGTGTGTGTGTGTGTGTGTTAGTCAGTCTGTTACGCGACTAACAAGGACAAACCCCTTTACCCCGGCAGCTGTGAAATTAGCTCTACATTACATGCAACGCAACGCACCAGACGCGACGACGGGATCCCGCGGCTCCATCATCTGCACGGCGTCCAACGTGGGCTTGTACCCGTTCCCGCCGGCACCGCTGTACGCGGCGTCGAAGCACGCCGTCGTCGGCCTCGTCCGCTCGCTCGGTCCGGTCTACGGGCTGCCGCATATCGGCATCAGGATAAATGCGCTGGCGCCCGCTGTGTTGGGTGCGTTACTCATTTTCTTTTCTTATCTATATTTTCTTATGTATGGTGGCGATGCTGCAAATCGGAAAAGGGGGGTTGCCACAAAGCTGATGTAATGGTGAAAACCAAAACAGAAACGAATCTATCGGGCGTAGACGGTCTCTTCAAAAACATGATCGTCACACCACCCAGTACTTTAATCGCGGGCATGGAGAAGCTCTTGAGTGATACTTCGCTGAACGGTCAGGTGGCGGAGATCCATGGCCAGAGCGTTACGTTGCGTCCACCGCATGAAGTCGTCGATGAGGATTCGCGGTATAACCTGGAAGAATTTTCTCGGTTTGGGTATGGACAGTAGGGCTCAATGTTTCGTAACTGGAGGAAGATGACGATGCGGTACCTTGGACCAAGAGAGATGAAGAAAGTGACTGTACAGGAGATGACGAGAGAGTCCCGAGGACTCAGACCACCTTAGCTAAAGAAGCAGTGGTGGCGATGTATAATGGGGTGTATCAATGAGTCCAGTGGCAGGACGAAAATTTACGTATGCTTGGGCAGACCGCTAGGTGCCGTACAAGACAGTGGGTCAATATATTCAATTCGGCTTGAAGTATGACCGTCATCATAGTCCTGACTGTTCAGACCTAGACTATGCATAGATATGGAGGCAGCCCTGAAGAGCTAACTGGGATCTTATATCAAAATACTAGAAGAAGTCTCTATGATCCTGATGGGTGTCATCCATGATTGTTACCAATATGTATTCACAAGCGGGTATCATGGCCCGTTTTCATGTTACTGCCGCCCCCTTATTTTCACTGCCCCCCTTTCTTGCTGTTATCTATCCCCTTCATCTAATCATGTTCTTGATAAAGCTCAGGTCACCCTCGGGAATCGATTTGCTCACCCCTCTGCCATGGCATTCTTTGAGCGGCTCTGGAAGTCAAGGGACACAACCTAAGACGCAGTGATATTAGAGTATCACGCTACTGAATGCATACTTAGTAGCGATTCCAGGAGTCCGGTATCCCAAAAGAACCTCATGATAAGTCTCAGGAATGTCTAGTGACTTATCACCTCAAGTAAGCTTTGAAAGCTGCTGCTGACGGTAGCCGAAATTAGCGGCGGTAGCAGGAAGAGGGTGAAAAGACGATTTAGGTAAACGTTGCTTTGAAGGCTTCTTTGGCATAGCCAAAGCTGCTTGATTCTCGCCATGATGCGGGCGTCTCTCAGCATCTTGCGCCATAGAGAGAGCGCTAGAGAGAGAGAGAGAGAGAGAGAGAGAGAGAGATGGCACTCATGTGGCTTCTTAATTCTACATATCCATCTCAAAGATCTCCTTTTATCGCCAGCTATAGCTTCTCTTCGTTTCGACTCTGAAGGTGAGATACCTCCTACTTGCAGCTTTTCTATCCTCCTAAGCTTGTCTTTGGTTGGCGGGTTCTAGACAAAGCCGATGTCAGCTGGGATTCTTGACTTTTGTTACCTTTTTGTTAGTTTCCATAGGTTCTTTCCGTTACTGGGTCATAGCAGTCTAGAGAAACTTTCACGGTATCGACATTTCTCTGGGCGTCAAAGCCAACGGTAAACCTTCCTAAATCGAATGTGCAGCCAATCTATGTATGTTGTGGGTTATCGAAGAAGTTCCCAAGTAGCTAGGTAATCGGCTATATAATTCTTGGAATCTTGTCTACTTGGTATATGTATCTAGGTCATTCAGTTGTTAAGTGATGCTCTAGACCGGTAAACCTGGGAAAGTATACTCTATCATTAAAACCTTGCATACGATACAAGTACTGTAGAAACAAGCCTCAAAAAACGTTTCTTATAATTTCGAAAATCCGATCCTAAGTTGGTTGTTCAGTGCTTTAATTAAGACAAAGAGCGCAATCAACTATTGGTGAACTTATCCTGAAAAAGCTAAATGGGTTATTGTGAGATAGATTATAGGTCTCTTTATGTCAGAGCTGTGTCAACAAGAGTCGAAGGACCGAGCCTTAGTGAGTGCGCGGTGGCCCAATGGTAGGGCTTTACTTTCCGGTCTTCACCGATTTGGTAAGGGTTGCGGGTTCGAGTCCCGTCCGCGTAGCGCAAAACGTGATCGAATAGATCTGACTTTTTTTCCCTTTCAATATTTCCTGATGCTTCAAATACTTTTTCTCACTTTCCAATTTACTTTTGCTGATGTGAGGATACCTAGTAGGTTCAAAACTCAACAGCTGGATACGATTACTAACTACTATGTACTTATTACACGCATTCACAGCAGTTGGGTATCTATTAATACTTGTACGCTGTAGTAGGGCGTAAACATGCATCTTTACCTTCGTCGTGTACCCGTGAATGCGAGACCTGGTCTCAGCTTGCTTTTGACCGTAAGCCTTGATTGAAATATCAGTGTTTATTCACTCCAACATAGATCCGGCCTACCAGGTAGTGCAGTGTAGCCGCCGTAGCTGGCTATATCTGGCCCAAGCTCCTAGCTCCTCTTAATCCCTCGGTAATGATTTAGACCTATAGCACGTTTTCGTCCTAGGTAGTTGATTTGTCGGTGCAGATCCAGTACTAGTAAGTATAACGTCTATTCCAGCAGGTTTATAGTAGGTGTAGTTTACACAAGTACACTAAGCCGAGACGAAACGGACATCTCCATGTCCGTAATTGTCGCCATTGATCCGGCGGATCGGTGGCACCCTATCTATAAGTGCGCTAGTCTAAGCATACCAGGGTACAAGGGTGCCTGCTCCCGCCAACCCATGGCAGTTACACGCAGCAAGATCTGACCGTCATTTTGTGTCACCTGGAAGGAAAATTTTCTTTACCATGCAGTGGCCCGTAGCATGCTATGCCATGGTGACTCCTTTTCAATCACGACGATGCAAGTCCCAGTTCTCTTCCCGTAGATGAATCGCGACTGACCTTGTCTCTGCTACTCTCATGTTGATGTTATATCTTTGTGCATGATGCAGGTTCTAGTTGCAATCTCTACGAGCTGTAGGTATGTGAGAGCGTTAAGCGGCCTATGACTTGCTTGAGGTTTTGCGACGTCAGGGACCCTGGACAAGTGAAAAGCCCCCACGCTCCAAAATCCCGATCTCGTGGAAGTCTTGTGGCTTCTTCCGCGATATTGCATATCGGTCTGTGCCTTGTTGAATAACATGCTTACCTATGCAATATCAACCCCTGCTCCCATGCTGTCCAGTAGTGCGTAGCGCGGCGTGTATAGGGTACCGCCTTAACCTGAAATTCCTTTACCAGGCGTTGTTAAGTTATTAGCTTAATAAAATAATTTATTATATAAATATTATATAAATTAGTTTATTATTATATATTATATATTAATATTTAATAGAATTATAAATTAATTAAATATTTATATATTTATTAATATAAAAGATTTATTATAATAATTAAATAATATTAAATTTATTATGTTTTTTAAATAATTTTAAATATAATTAAATTAATATTTTTAATTTAATAAAATAATTTAATTTTAAAAAATATATTATTAAAATTAATAATATAAATAATTTAATATTATTTTTAATAAAAAAAATAAAAATATTATTATTTTTTAAAAATTATTAAATTTAATTAATATATTATATTTAATTATTATAAATAATTCTTTTCATAAAAAATAATTATTTTTTAATAATCTTTTATTTAAATATAATTTTTATTAATTAATATTAAAAAAGATTAATATTTAATAATAATTCATTAATTTAAATAAAAAATAATTATTATTTTTATTATTTTAAATTTTAAATATAATTAAATTTTTTTTTAATAATTAATTTAAAAGAATTTTATAATATGATTAAATTAATTATGATTAAATTATATATATAATTATATAAATATTAAAAATATTAATTTTATATAATTATAATTAAATAAATAATATTAAATATTAAGAAAATAAATTAATGTTAAATATTTAAAAATTATTATAAAAACTTTAAAAATATTATAAAATAATTATTAATATTTTATAAATAAATAATTTAATTTAAAAATAATTAAAAATAAAATAAATATAATTAAATAATTAAAAAAATATTTTAATTATAATATTAATTTTAAAATTTATATAAAAAAATTATATTATTATAAACCTCTTATATATCAAAAAATATATAAGATATATATAAGGGTTTTTAATTTATAGGTAATAATAAAACTAATAATAAATAATTTATAAAAAAGGTTTATTAATATTTTTACTACTATATTTAATATTATTAAATATAATAGTTATTTTTAAGTATATATAAATATAAAAATAAGATTTAAAATAAGATTAATAATTAAAAAACTAGATTAAATAAATAATTAAATAGAAAAGAGTTATAAGATTATATAAATATAAAAAATATAGATAAAACAAAGCTTACCCTTTCTAGTAATCTAGGGCTTACTGGCTTACTTCTATAATCATGTGACCTATACCAATCGTGGTTTTTTTTTTATATCTAGCCTAATATCTCCTCCTTTTTATGCCTGGCCTGCCAAACCAGCCACCCTTTTTATTAGTTTATAATACTATTCTTCTATTTCTAGAATTATTATCCCAATAATAAAAGGTGAGTATATGTTTTGCTCTCTATTTTTTATTTTTATATGCCTTTTCTTTTTTTATTGTTTATAATATCTAGTTATATTAAAAAATACTTATAATCCTTAAGAACTAAATAATAACTCGCTTTAGCGTTTTTAATTAATAAAAAAGGATTTAAAATTATATTATGCTTTTTATATAGGTTAAGAAAATAAAAATATAAAATAATAAATAATATTTTGTATTATAAAGAATATATATATTATAATTAGTTATATAATAATTCTAAGGTCTTTATTCTTATTATTTATAAATTTATTAAAGAGTCTGATCAGTTGGCCAAAAAAAAACATTAAATAAAATAATAACTCTCTAAGGCCCTTACTTATCTTAATAACATATATTATTAGCATACCTTTTATTAAAATAAAGGTATATACCTTATTAATCAAGGCCTCTGCTTATTAAACAAGCTGGAATATTAGAATTATAATAAATTTAAGGCAGTTATTAAAGTATAAGCTGCTGGGGTTATTAATATTATTAACTAGAATATTATTAACTTTTAAAAAGTTAACCCCTTATTTTTAGTTTTAGGTAATCAGGGTATTAATAATAAAATTAATTTATAATAATTATAATAATCTCTAAATATTTCCTAGATTTTTAAATATTATTAATATATAAATATTTTTTTTATTTAATAAAATATTTAATATTATTTTTATTTTAATAAGAGTCTAGTATTTTTTCGACCTTATAAATATTTTAATTATTTTTTATTTTAAGCTAGGTTTTTATTAATATATTCTTTAATACTAGTTTAAATAATAAAATATAAAAAATAAAATAAATTTATATATTCTTTAATAATAATAGTTTATAATTAATTAATAAAATAATTTCTTTAATTTTAAAAAAACCAAGTTTTTTTAAAATTTAATTTATTATTAAATTATTTTATTTTAATCTATAAAATCTTTAAAATTATATTTTATCTTTAATATAATAAATAAAATTTATCTCCTTTTGCTAGAATTAGTCCCTTAATTCTCTTCTTGTTATAGTATTATAATATTTATTATTAAAGGAATTAAAGTTGTGATTATAGTTTTATCTCTTATTATTGCCAATAGGGTAAGCGGATATCTATTTAGTATTATGATTTTGTTTAGTGGCCGGTAGTCTGCTACTATTTGCCATATTAAATTTCTATTTTTATTAATTATCTGTTTTCTATCTTTTATTTTTAGTACTATAATTACTGGGTAACCACAAGATGATTGTGATTCCTTAATAAATTCTCTAGCTAGATTCTTCTGAATATATTTTTATAAGGCTTTTATTTTATCTGGTCTTATATAGTAGACTTAATAAAGTTTTGGTTAATATCTTTTTTTGATTAGAATATAATGGTTTTATAGACCATATTTAAGAAGCTTTTTTTTTTATTTTTGAAATAATTTATAAAATTTATAATATTCTTTTAATATATTTTTAATAATTTCTTTTATAATTTCATTAATTTGTTACGGACCTCTTATATATCGGAAGATATATAAGACGTACGCGGGGGTTCTTGATTTGCAGGTAACAATAAGACTAACAGCAGGTGGTCCGTAAGGGAGGTTTTACTGGTACTCCCACCACTAGTCTAGTCGCGATAGAATAGTAGTCGCTCTTAGATGTTCAAAGTATGAAGTGAAATAAGAGTGTGAGATTGATAGCTAGAGAGCTAGAATAAACGAGTGACTAGATACAGGAAATCATGATCATTATATAGACATAGGAAATAGTAACAGGAACTCCTCATAGCCTGGATCAGCGTGAGCCAGTGAGCCAGGTGAGTGGTCACGTGACTGAAAAATGGGAAAGAAGCAAGAGTCAGCAGAACATTGGGCCGCCACCTTGGCCACCTTAGCGCCAACACACATGTTCCCGTAACATAATTCTTTTTATTTATTGGTTTAACTTTTATTTAATTCTTTTTATTTTTTATTAAATTATAAAATTATTAATTATTAATTATAATACTTCTAAAATCATATTATATCTAGAGATATTAACTATATTAAATATAAGTTATTCTTTATATTCTTATATAAATATATTAAGCGGTGCTTTTATTAAATCTTGTAATCTTCTAAGATTTTAACTTATATTTCCAGGGGATGCGGTCTTATTCTGCTATTTCTAATAATATAATATTTGCTTATGTTCTAGAATCTATTAAGGCTTTATATATATATTTTTTTTAATACTCAAGTTTGATTTTAAATTGGTTTTTTTTTATATCGCGTCGAACTTTTTATAAGGTTTTAACTATTTTGGTTATGTACTACTTTTAAGGCGAGAACCCTTTTTGTTTTTTAGTTCTTGTTCTTTTAATTCTTTTATATAGGATATTCTAGTGGGTATTTAATCCAATGTTTCTTTGGTTTTTTATAATATAGGTTTTTCTTTATTTGATTTTTCTTTAGGTAAGAAATATTTTTTGATTATTATCCTTGGTTATATTATAA